CAGTTTATTGAGTCTGTAATATGTCTGTAGTCCTTCCATGCCCTGGTAATTGACCCGTCTGAAGCTGTATCATTTGGAATATATGTACAACAAGCCAACCCAAACACTGAACACACCAATCCTTTTTCCACCAAGAAAAAGGATTAGAGTGCCATTGTTAGGTTTGCACTCGCAGGCCTCGTTAACTCAGAGACTTATCACCATGAACAAAGCAAGATTATCAGAGCTCAATCAGTTTTTACTTGCAAGGAAAACCCAATCAGGATCTCAGAGTTGTAAGCTCCTCCCCCAATCCCAGCCAACTTCGAATTCCAGCCTTCCCTTACAGCCTTTTATTGAGTGAAAACAGTTACACAACCACATTATTGTAAAACCCATATGGTGTGTCGTAAAAGTTAAGGCACTGTGTGTGTGAGCATGCATGTGTGAGCATGTGTGTTCGTGTGTGTGTGTGTGTGTGTGTATGTGTCTGTATACGTGATTTCCTGGTAGCCATATGTGGTTACCACCCTTTAACAACATCTCTAGTCATAAAAGGGTCATCTCCCCTCACCCCATATATGCGTTAACCCTTTAACATCCCACCATATACAAGCATAGGTGAGCCCATAAAGGGCAGGAAGTGAACATTCCTTACCAAATAAGGAAACCAGAATCTTTACATGCAATGTGCCTGCAGTTTAAGGCAAGGTTTACAAATTTTAAGCACAACAATGAAAACTTTTAACAACATCACTCCAACAGCCATCCTATTCTGGACTGTCGTAAGTAACGTAGACGTCAACTGTTCTGACAGTCCTGCTATTGCATTCCTGATCAGTTTAGCCAATCTCTGCGCAATGTATACAGTCACTATTCTTATTGGGTGTTAGCCAAAGTATTATAGATTCAAACCCTGTTAGCTTAATATGCTGGCTTAATATGCAGGATGACCTGATGTGCAAAAAAAATATTATTACTGTTCAAAAATAGGTCAGCTGTTCAAGAGTCTGATGTCAGTGGAGAAGAAGGAGTTGTTGAGTCTGGATGTTCTGGATTTTGAACTTCTGAACCTCCGCCCTGAGGACAGAAGTGTGAACAGTCCGTGTTGGAGGTGTGTGGGGTCTTTGAGGATGTAGGCATCTCTCCTTTGGACTCTGCGATGGTAGATGCTCTGCAGAGAGGGCAGCGAAGTCCTGATGATCTTGTCTGCAGTTGTTATCACTCTCTGCAGGCGTTTGCGGTCCATAGCAGTAGTTCTGCCGTACCATGCAGTGATGCAGCTGGTAAGTGTACTCTCCACAATGCAGCTGTAGAAGCTGCTGAGGATCTTGGCCAACATACCGTCTCCCATTTTGACCTTGGGTCCATACTCAGCACCGATTTTTCTGTATACTATGCCGGCCACTTGGTTATGGCGTTCCATGTATGCCCTGCCTGCTAGCATCTTGCACCCTGCTGTTATGTGCTGGATTTTCTCTGGGGCATCTTTACACAGCCTGCACCTGGGGCCATGCCTGGTGTGATAGACCCCAGCCTCTATGGATCTTGTGCTCAGAGCTTGTTCCTGTGCTGCCATGATTAGTGCCTCTGTGCTGTCTTTCAGTCCAGCTTTGTCCAGCCACTGGTAGGATTTCTGAATGTCAGCCACTTCCTCTATCTGCCGGTGGTACATACCGTGCAGGGGCCTGTCCTTCCATGATGGTTCCTCCTCTTCCTTGGGTTTCTGCTGCCTGAGGCATTGACTAAGCACGTGGTTGGTTGTGGCTGTCTTCCTGATGTACTCATGGATGGTTTGTTGTCTCATCCTGGACTGTGGTACTGACACTCACTAGTCCTTGGCCGAAGTGCCCTGGTCAGTCAGGATATTTTGTGGGATGCTAGCTTGAGAGATGGCCTGAAACAATGTCTGTGCCACACCCAAATGGTGCACAGTAGCACTGCTTTAGGATATTGTGTTGCATAATCTACCAGAACTAATACAAAGTGATATCTGCATGCACTCTGGTGAAATGGCCATTATTTTGCTCCAGAGTTTTATCACATACCATATGACCAGCCATTGGGTTGTAATGAGCCACCAAGAAAATAACTTCCCAGCGGCTTTGCGGCACCAACAACTGGCTGTGTTCTTCCTGTATGCAAGTGTAATGACTTATATAATCTTTCCCTAAACATTATAAAATATGAAAATGTCAGCCCTGCTTCAGGGCACACTATTTGATGATCAGTGTTCATCACTTGCGTCTTCCATGGAAAATCTTCCATGGAGCTAATTACTGGAACCGTCGACGTCTCCCATGAAGGCCCTACCATTTCCTCCTCTCTAGAGTCAGCGACGGACCCATCACTGCTGAGTGCAGCACAGACCCCACATGTTCCTACGGCCATGCTGTAAATTCCTCCTGGGAGTTTCTCCAAAACTGCTCTGCTCCATGTCACTGCCTCCATCACCATGTCCACCAACATTTTCGCCTGTGTGTGCACCAGCTACATTGGCTGCGGGTCCGACATGTTGAGCTGGGATTTGGCACCACTGTAATAGCCCCAGCTCACAGACCTGGCACAACAGACATGCAGTTCTCAGTGTTTGCTCTGTGTGTTTTATTTACAGTGATGTTTTTATGTGCAGGGCAGGTTTCCATCAATCCTTTGGTCTGTGTTTGCCCACACACATCAGTTCAGCACATCACTGCTCAGGTCCAGCCTTCATTTCTCCCTCCTTCAGGTCCTGATATAGTAGAAATGTTATTAGATAATTACTGCCAGTTGTGCCAACCAATCTCCCCCAGATGTCACACCCTGAACTTCCCACTTCCACTTCCCCTACTGCTGATCCAAAAACCACACCCAGCCACGATATCTTTTTCTTAAGTCAAGTCAGGTTGTACTACAAGTCCAAATTCTGCCAACCACTTTTGTACAACTGCTATAATTTTGTGTTTTTCATCTCACCATTTGATTGGTATAGAAAATATAGTTTCAGGAGTTCTTTTTTTAATTTTTAGAAAATAATAACAGGTTTACCCCAAAATCCAATTTTCTTACAGTCTGTGTCTGTCAGTGTTCCTGGGACATTGACCCAGTATTTTCAGTTTGTTCATGTTCAGTTTATTTCTCACTCGTTCACATTTCCTGTCTTCTTGTGCCAGTTACTTTCCTGTGTGTCTTTAGTTTGATTAAGTTCAGCTGTGTACTCACCGGTCTCTCATTATCATCCTCATCAGTCTGTGTATTTAAGTTCCTCAGTTTCTTCAGTCCAGTGTCTTGTCATTAATAGAAAGTCATTGCGTGTGTTCAGTTCCGTCAGCCAGCTATTCATTTAGTCAGCCATCTCCTGTTCTCTTCATTTGTCCCTCACAATAAACACCCTGAATCTTCGCCGTGAGTCCTGCATTTGAGTCCTCTTCTCCACATCTACACAGCAACCCCTGACAGTTTCTGCTCCCAAACCAACAAAAAACAAACCAAAAAGAAGAAAAAAACCATTTAAACATAAAAAAAAGCTTATTAATCAGCCATAGGCATAGTTTAAATTCATTTGAAAGCCTAATTCTTAGCCTTGTACACCCTAATTGATAAATTAAAAAATGCGTTTCATTTGTCATTATCTATCGTCCACCTGGGCCTTTCTCAGAGTTTCTATTTTCTCAGACTTTTTATCTGATTTAGTGCACAGCTCAAATAAAACAGTTATTGTGGGCAATTTTAACACTCTACATGGATGCTGAAAATGACAGCCTTAATACAACTTTTGATCTATTAGCCTCAACTGGCTACTCTAAAAATGTAAAGGAACTCACCCACCACTTTATTCACACTCTAGATCTTGTTCTTGTCATTGTCCTGGTTCTGGTGACCCAGTGTTTATGTTTTAGTTGTGTACTTCTGCCACCAAAAGGACAACAATATGAGTTTTATGAAACTTAGTTTTTTTTCTACTTAAAAATTGCTGTTGTTATGTTTTTTGCAGATTTCACACTGTGGGACATGGAAACGATTAAAAAGTACAGCACTAGGCAGAATCAGACCAGTAGCAACTATGAAATTACTGCATCAGACTCAATTGAGTCCAAGTTTTCTCTGCTGGATGTCAGCGCTTCTGTCAAAGCCAGTTTCCTGGGGGGACTGATTGAGGTTGGAGGATCCGCCAGGTATCTGAATGACAACAAGAAATCCAAGAACCAGAGCAGAGTGACGCTTCATTTCAGTGCTACGACTGCATATGAACGACTGGCAATGACCCATCTTGAAGCAAAGGCCACACAAATACAAGATGTCATTAAGAAGAGCGGTGCAACACACGTCGTCACAGGCATCCTTTATGGAGCAAATGCTTTCTTTGTGTTTGACAGCGAGAAATTGGAGAGCAGTAGTGTTAAGAACATCGAGGACAACATGCAGGCTGCGATTAAGAAGCTTCCAGCGTGTAACTTTGAGGCAGAAGTTGACGTCAAGCTGAGTGATGAAGAAAAAGCTGCAACTAAAAAATTCTCCTGCAAATTCTACGGAGCCTTCATTCTTGACAGCAACCCTTCGACATTTGAAGATGCAGTGAAGACATACTCACAGCTTCCAAAGCTCCTTGGTGGCAATGGAGAGAAGACAGTTCCTGTCAAAGTGTGGCTGACAACGCTGAACAAACTGGACCCAACAGCTGAAGAGATGAAGAGTGAGATTAGTGTTGGGTTGCTGAGGAAAGCTGTGAATGCTCTAGAAAACATCAAAGAAATGGAAATGAGATGCAATGATTCAATGATTGTCTGGATGAAGAGGTGGTTGAGAATTTTCCACAAATTCACAAAAAGTTGAGTCGTTTCCATGACCTTTGTGAAGATTATGCAAAAAAACTCAGACAGACCATGATGGTGAAAATTCCTGCCATCCGCGAGGGTAAAGAAAAGGAGAGTACACTGCAGGAAATCTTAGGTGACCAGGAAAAGTCACCATTCAGTCTGGAGAATCTAGACAAGTGGTTATATAATGCAGAGAGAGAAATCAATGTTATCAGGTGCTGTCTGGAAATAATGAAAGGAATAAAGATCTCCAAAGATGAGTCAAAGTTTGACAAAGAGGTTTTCACTCCAGGTGTACAGGACACTCTGTGCTTTATCTTCACTTCCCTGGAAACTGATGACCCCTACCTGGACCAGATGGATAACTACCTGCATTCTGGTGAATCACCTAAGAGTTTCCTTCCACCAACCAAAGACCACTGGTTCTTCTCAGAAGATGTGATTGATGACATGAAAATGAAATCTGAAGATTTCTCCACAATTGTCAAAGGCCTGAAGGATAGCAGCAGATTTCGTTTCTTTGTGTCAGCGATAAGAAATGAGAAATACAAAGGAGCAACCATCTACCATTACAAGAAGAGCAACAAGACCACTGAAGAATTTTCAAAGCCTGCTGTTCCTAATGTCGAAGCTGTTGAAGACCGCGAAGCTCTAATTTGGTGTAAGCCTGTTTCCTTTCAGTCAAAATAATTTTATGTATAAATAATATTGGTTCTGCACAGTATCTCAGCTGTTCCTAGGATTGCACTCTTCTGGAGTGAACAAAGACCTCTGATGTTGGTCCTAGGCTTTTCTGGGGCCACACTCCAGTTTGAGGGTTACAGCTCCTACAGCTATTATTACCACTGGGAAAACTTTCAATTTCACTTTTCACATCTGCTCTAGATGTTCCTTTGTTCCTCTGGTACTTCTTTATTTTCTCTGGTCCTTCCAGATGTTGCTGTCCACTCAGATTACCACATCTGTCATGACTGTGGTCTTCTGTTCTGTGTCAACTATCACTATGCCTGGTTGGTTGTCCAGCAGCTGCTTGTCTGTCTGAACTCAAAGTCCCACAGGAACTTAGCCCTGCTGTTCTCAACCACCTTTGGTGGTGTCTCCCATCGGGACTTGGAAACTTCTAGTCCATATGGCTTGGATCTTATTCCTACCGTGCTTCAGCTGGCGTCTCCACACCTGTCTTACCTTTTAAGGTATTTTGCTGTGGCTGAACTTTGTGCATCTTTATCATGCTTTTTGTTGGCCATACCCAGATACTTATAGCTGTATGTATATCTGCTATTCTGCCTTCTGGATGCTCCACCCTTTTGAGATCATGATTATGGAGTGCCATCAGCTTCTTCAGCCAGTTAGCATGGATCACCTGTCCAGGTCTTCATTCCAGAAACTTGTTTTTGGATGTTAACTAGTTCATTTTTTGGGAGGTTGCGGAGGTTTCTTCCAGTATTGCTCAGTTTCGCTTTGGGTGACCACTGCGATTGTCACAGCCGGGCGGCCAACACAGGTGAATGGACTCAAGCGCAGACAACACTCAGAGGCATGGAGGATCAGTGAGAAGCCAACGCTTATTACAGGAAGTGAGGAGTAACACACAGGGGAAGAATAGTCAAACGCAAAAAACACTAATCATGAACTGAGAGCGAGAGGAACTAATATGGCCGGCAGGGGCAACAGCCAGGGAACCCGACACTGGGTATTTTCCAGAGCAGGAACCCTATACTGCAGGGCAAAGGGAGAATTACGAAGTGGGGCTCTCAGAGTCACTGAAACGAGGGAGAAACGAGGGAGTCACTGAAACGAGGATTAGAGCGAGTTCCAGCCAGCAGTCCAGAGAGAAGAAGCAATTTGCAACAATTTTACTTTGTGCAGGTGGAGGCGAGGTGTGGAGGGGTAATGGTCCGGGTGAGGCATGAGCAAGGTCTGATAGACACTCCGTTGAAAGCTGGGCAGGGAGGCAGGCAGGTGAGTAAAAAGACAAAGCTGTGAGCAGACCAGACCAGCTGTGAAAAAGGTAGGTTAATGGCCGCGTAGAAACTGGCGTCCATGAGACTGCTGAGACCAGAGAAAACAAGGTTAGTTCAGAAACTACTGCAAGATTACTAGCTAGGGGAGCCTTCAGTAACTAGGGTTAGTTGACGTTTTGGTGATGAGTGTTTGTGAACGCTGGTCTTAAAGGTCTGCAGTCTAATTAATCACAGTTGCAGCAAACCTGAGGAGATGAGGTGACTTTAGATTTTTGTTTCAGTTGTTTCTGTGATGTACTGAAATATAATTACAAGCACTTCATACGTTTCAATTACATGACATTTACGCAAAGAGTCAGTATTTGCACTGTTGGCCCTTCTTTCTCAGGACCTCTGCAATTCGACTGGGCATGCTCTCACTCAACTTCTGGGTCAAATCCTGACTGATAGCAACCCAATCTGTTATTTTCACTTCTTGGAGTTTGTCAGAATTAGTGGGTTTTTGTTTGTCCACCCGCCTCTTGAGGATTGACGACAAGTTCTCAGTGGGATTAAGATGTGGGGAGTTTCCAGGTCATGGACCCAAAATTTCAATGTTTTGTTCCCCGAGCCACTTAGTTATCACCTTTGCCTTATGGCACGGTGCTCCATCATGCCGGAAAATGTATTGTTCTTCACCAAACTGTTGTTGGATTGTTGGAAGAAGTTGCTGTTGGAGGGTGTTTTGGTACCATTCTTTATTCATGGTTGTGTTTTTGGGCAAAATTGTGAGTGAGCCCACTCCCTTGGATGAGAAGCAAACCCACACATGAATGGTTTCAGGATGCTTCACTGTTGGCATGACACAGGACTGATGGTAGCGCTCACCTTTTCTTCTCCGGACAAGCCTTTTTCCAGATGCCCCAAACAATCGGAAAGAGGCTTCATCTGAGAATCTGACTTTGCCCCAGTCCTCAGCGGTCCATTCACCATACTTTCTGCAGAATATCAATCTGTCCCTGATGGCTTCTTTGCTGCCCTTCTTGACACCAGGCCATCTTCCAAAAGTCTTCGCCACACTGTGCATGCAGATGCGCTCACACCTGCCTGCTGCCATTCCTGAGCAAGCTCTGCTCTGGCGGCACTCTGATCCCACAGCTGACTCCTCTTTAGGAGACGATCCTGGACTTTCTTGGACACCCTGAAGCCTTCTTAACAAGAATTTAACCTCTTTCCTTGACGTTCTTGATGATCCTTTAAATTGTTGATTTAGGTGCAATCTTAGTAGCCACAATATCCTTGCCTGTGAAGCCATTTTTATGCAACGCAATGATGGCTGCACGTGTTTCTTTGCAGGTCACCATGGTTAACAATGGAAGAACAATGATTTCAAGCATCACCCTCCTTTTACCATGTCAGCTCTGCCAGTCTAACCCAATCAGCCTGACATAATGATCTTCAGCCTTGTCCTTTTCCCGAGTGGTGTGTATGCCGGGACAACGAGCAGAGAGTGGTGGTCAGACATACTTAGGTGGGGTGAGGGGGGCAGTAGGCTGTAGGCTTGCTTAATATTTGAGTAAACGTGGTCCAAGGTGTTATTCCCTCTCATAGGGCATTTCACATGTTGAACAAATTTAGGGAGCACAGCATGCTTTGTTGAAATCCCCTGCGATGACGTGTACTCCCTCTGGGTATGTTTGTTGCTGGTCAGATATTGAGTTGTGCAGGTAGGCAAGGGCTGAGCTAACATTAGCGTCTGGTGGTATGTAAACTGCTGTTTTTAGCACCGCAGGCAGTTCTCTGGGCAAGCAGAAAGGTCTGCACACAACAGACATTGTCTCTTTGTCCAGGGAGCAGACTGTGGTGATGATCTTAATGTTTGTGCCTCAGTTGTTATGTGTGTAAATGCACAAACCTCCTCCTCTGCTTTTCCCCGCTGTAGCTTTTCTGTCGCTGTGGTGCATTGTGCGGCCTGCTAGCTGAAGCAGCGTATCGGGAATTTCCTTTCGTAGTCATGTCTCTGTCACAACCAAGACACAACAGTTGCGGGCGAATGGCTGTGCGGCGAGAAGTAGGTTCAGTTTGTCTATTTTGTTGACGACCGACCTTGTGTTGGTCAGGAAGATGCTGGGGAACGGTGGCTTAAAAGGCTGCTTCTTTAACCTGGCTAGCAGGCCTGACCAGCAGCCACGCTTTTGTTTGCATTCCTTCCACCGCCTTTGTTGCTTGGGAGAGCTGATAACAATCCACGGAGCGCCTGATGTTCTCCCTATCTCCAGGGGGATGTTGTCGATCCTCTGATAATCACTGGTAATGGGGATCTGCCTGTTATATCTGATGTTGCATAATTCCAGATGACTGTAGGTAAGTTTGGCTTTGCAACAAGAAAAACAAAAGTTAAAGAAAAAGACAAGAAATGAAAAAGAAAAGCATCTAAGTGGAGAGCCTGAATCTGCTGCGTCTGTGTGTGCCGCCATCTTTGAAACAAATATGTAAAAGCTATGACTTCATGTATAAGATGAAATGTGGTGAGATATTTAAAATATATAATACCTATTTCTAGCTAACTTGCTGGTTATATATACCATTATTGGCATCATTACTGATGCTTGCATGTGAGTCTTCTGTTGTAAAGTGGAATGGATAGTAATGAATTCTAATAAACTTCTCTTTTCAGATGGTTGTGATCTCACCCTGGATTTAGAAACAGCAAACAACCACCTGATTCTGTCTGAGGATAAAAAGATGGCGACATGTGGAGAATTGAAGGGATATGACAATAACTCTAAGAGGTTTGATTTAGTGCCTCAGGTTTTGTGCAGCGAGGGGCTGACTGGGCGCCATTACTGGGAAGTACAGTTGAGTACCGATTCTACCACTAAGGCTGGCATAGCTGTTATGTACCAAAGCATCCAGAGAAAGGGAGAAGGTGGTGAGACAGAATTTGGTGCTAATTCCAAATCCTGGTATGTTGGTACATGCTCTGTAACAGACTTCACTGTGTGGCATAATGGCAAATTAAGAAGCGGCAGTCTTCCAAGCAGCTGGAGTAGAGTTGGAGTGTTTCTTGATTACCCCAGTGGCACGGTGTCTTTCTATACAGTCTCCTCTAACACACTGACACACCTCCACACCTTTCACACCACATTCACAGAGCCTGTTTACCCAGGCTTCTGGATAAAAAACATATCCAACTATGTTAAACTGTCTCCAGTTTAATACCATCAGCAGAATCAGTCACAGCAGAAAAATCTGGGACAAAAAACAAAATGAAAGATTTTGCATTATGTTTTCATAAACCTCTTATAGCTTTATATTGTACTGAGCAAATACACTTTTAAATGTTTCAGGTGTTATGGTGAATTTTATTGGGACATTATTTTTTACACCAGTAAGCCAAAACCTGAATGCCTAACATGGTGTGTGTGTGATCCTGCCAAAAGCGTCTTCCTTAAGCCAGCTAACTGTCCTTTTCTCACAGTGAATTCTGGTACCATCACTAGGCCATCAGGAAAGTAAGCTCTATACCCAGCTGGCGATATGATTGAAGTAAAATATGGATTCATTGCCCTGAGGCTGTTATTGGAACATCCGTTTTGGCTCACTGATGCATTTATTGCCTGCTCATGAACTTTTTTTTGTGTTCATCACAGCTGCATGACGCATAACATTAATTTACTATTAAATGCTGTGATAGAAAGTAGGGTATAATCTCATTATGATAAATGTTGCTGTGGGGACCAGGGGGATCTAATTATTGTAATGCTTCATGATTCATATGCTACATACATACTAAATATTTGTGGAGGTTAGTTATTCTCCTAAAAGGAGGGTAAAGAATGTGTTTCTGTTTTAGTTTCTCCTAGTTACTTAAAGCATTTGGTTTTCTTCTCCTTACATGATCCCATTCAAAGCTACTAACATGGCAAACCTAAAACATAACACATGTAAACCTTACTGTTAATGAGTATCAGGCACAGTTAGCTGATGAGGAATTAAGTGTGATGATAGCCTGATTTCTTTATCTTAAAAACAATTGTGTGTGTTTTAAAGTAGATGATATCTTACAGTCTTTTTGAAGTGGGCTTTCTGGCTATATAATTGCCATTTTATAAACAAAACAAGTGTAATGTGCCACTCAGGAAATCTGTGAGTAGGGTCTGACCACATTTTCCACTCTGACTCAGAACACTGCACATAGAGTCAACACATGCTGTTAACATGCTGATGTTTGTGAAGCTGAAGCTCTCCTGCTTTGTGTAACACTGACACCTGGTGGATGTCATCAATAAAGCTGAATCCTGAGTTGAACAGCATGTACTGCTTCCTGTTTATCCGAATGTTCATTCAGGAGCTAAACTTTATTTGAAAATTCCTAAATAAGAAATTCACAGCTTTAAAGTTGGTCTTATATGATTTGTTTTTATTTAATTTTGTTTTTATTGACACTTTTATGATGACTGCATTTAAATATTTTAATAGCCTCATTCTGATTCCTGAAGAACACACTGAAAGACATTTCATTTCAATTAATCAACACAAAAACAGATTAATCTGATCATTTTAAGTTATTTAATATATATTTAACTTTTAAAAACCACGTCTAAATTTAATCTATAAATAAAAGAATAAATCAGTATAAGTACATACAAGGGGAAGAAGTTAACACAGATGACAACTCTCACTGCGTTAAAAGCCAATAAGAAAAGGTGTGTTTTTAAATCAGCAAGAGATGGAGCCTGCCTGACCTCCAGAGGCAACTCATTCCACATTTTAGGAGCCAACACTGCAAAGGCTCTGTCTCCTCAGGATTTATAAAATGTCTTCGAGAGAGTCAAAAGGAACTCCTTAGCTGATATAAGAGCATGCAACAACATTTAAGGGTGAAGCAGCTCAGACAAATAAGAAGGGGTGGTGCCATTAAGAGACTTAAAAACAAATAAAAGAATTTGATTGTTATCAGCTACTCTGCTGATAAAATTTGCTCCCCTCATGTTTTGAATGCGGTGCTCTACCTGCACTGTGTATAGTGCTGGTGGAGCGCTGCTGACGTCGACTGAGAAAATTGTCGGACGGTGGAAGGAATATTTTGAGAACCTCCTTAATCCCACTGACACGTCATCCGAGGAGGAAGCAGAGTCTGGGGATGAGGGGAATGACCCGCCATCAAGCTAGGACAGAGAAAAACACAATTAGTAGTGAGTAGTAGGTACTGATGGCTATTCAATCATGTCTCTAAATTCAATATTTATTTAATGCTACAAAAATGCAAACCAGCTGAATAGTGCTGTGGATATCAATATCAGGGCAATCCTCAATCTGAACTGTAACTGTTTCAGGTGAGCCAACAAAAAGGACATGGATGATTGCAGGACTTATACCAGACACACACGGTCCACCATGAATGAATGAATGTCCCATTATTCTTCATAAGATCAAACATAATAAATTCACTTAGCCTAACATTGCATGGGGGTAAAAACAAACAGTTTTGTAACTGTATTCAATCCTTTTTTCATCTTTATGGTTACAGTTAGGATAATGTAACACAAGTAATGCTGTTACCTTTAGTGCTGCACATGTATTATTTTAAATTACTCTTCCTCTTATTTCTGTACATAACTTTCTTACCTGCCACCAAAAACATGTCACTCTCAAGCAAGGTCTGAGAAGTGGATGGAGTCAAGTGTTCTGGCTCACCGTCAAACAGTCTTGTAAGATCTGTGTTCCCTGAAAAGAGTACAGCTAGGTTATGGTGAGTATCAGAAATCCAGGCAGTAAATTTAACACAATTAACTCATTTACATAACAAACACATTTTCTTTACATGATGAAATATTCTCTTATTTAATCCACTATACATGTGCCCAGTCTAGTTTCATACATACATACCAAAATTCAAATGCAAACCAGACTGTAGTAGAGAAACTGCCTTTGAGAAGAAAAATCTCTTCACCCCTTCTCCAACAGCAACATCCCCTAAAAGGAAGAAGAAAAAAAAACTTGTGAAGTTTTGGATTAGTCAGTCACTGGATTTCTAATGTTTTCACAATACAGAAACAATACCTTCCAGTTTGCAGCTGACAGGGCCCGCCCACTCTACCTTTGGCGCTTTGTAGAGGGAGATAAGTGATCTCTGATTGATCCACAATACTTTCCCGCAAGTCCATTTGCAGGACTACTGCCTTTCTGGTCTCATACTAGGCTGCTCTGGTTGTATCTTGTTCACATTTCCATTCTGAAAGGAAATTTGTTTGGATCACATAAAACAAAAGAAATAAAATATATGTAATTTTTGCCATTTATCTGGTATGTTCAGTTCAGTTCAGTTCAGTTCATTTTATTTCAAACATTTCAAACATGAGCCTTCACAATCATTACAAAATATCATTCCATTATTTGTTTGAAAAGGAGTAGGCAGAAGTATTTACTTATTTGTCCCTACCCCCTCAAGTTTTACCTCTCATTCATTTAATTTTCTTTTAGTCTTAAATTAAACAAACAACATATGAAACAAAAGTAAAGCAAAACAAAACAAACATACATAATTCAAAAACAAGAAATAAGCAAGCCCCACCACAGTATAGTTTCTTTCATATGAAAAATACAGAATGTGTATATTTGCAGATACACAAGTTATGGAAAAACAAACAAACAAAAAAAACCAAAAAAGAACTACAACACCATTTCCAGCAACATTACCATCCTGGGTTAACCCCGTTTTCTTCATTCTTATACTTATTCAATATTGGGTTTTTATATTTTAATTTAAACTGGTTTATGTTTTTACTTTCTTTTATTTCTTCTGTTAGACTGTTCCATAATTTAACTCCTGCAATTGAGATAGACATCGTTCTTAAAGTTGTTCTAGCACTTTGTATTTTTAAATTCCATTTCCCTCTTAAGTTATACCCACCTTCTCTTT